GAAGAAGTTGGCCAGCACCAGCATGGTGATGAATTGGTATAATCCTTTTATCCGATCACTTTCAACTTTCTTATCATGGTCTTAAAGCTACTCTTCTATCTTTCTGTCTCTCAAAACTGTTTTTTTTGTTTGTTTCGATTTTAAAGAGGAGGCGTGTTGGATCGGAAATACAGAGACTGGTCGAAGTAGACTGCTACAGAGGTAGTAGACATAGACATGGAATGCCTTGCAGAGGACAAAGAACCAAAACTAACGCTCGCACCAAAAAGGGCAAAGCCGTTGCGATTGCAGGAAAGAAGAAAGCTCCTCGCAAGTAAACCTGTCTTTCAATCCATTCTCTGGGATTCATAAGTTGTAATCCATGTCACATTGTTTACAGACATGGCTTTGTGTTACTTTTGGGATGAAACTGATCAAATAAGTAAACTTGGTTTTTTTTGTAGTCTTTTTTTGTCATTGTCATTGCCATTGCAGGGGAAGAAGAATGCTTCAAAACTGTTCTGCAATAGCAATACTCTATATAGCTTCTATAGTCTGTCTCTTTGTGTGATTTGTTATCCTAAAAAATTGGATTGAAATTGAGCCCATCAACTTTTTGTTTTGTCAGGAAGCCTAATTCCAAATTTGTCTTCAGCTTATTGGGTAGTTACTATTCTCATCACTCGTTACTGGCCCATCGTACAAAGCCCATATAATTATTATTTAGCCCATTAACAATTCGTGTCCTAACGTCACCGAATTCAGTGCATTCAACACTGCTATAACGTCAACAAATAAAATTATATATCAACAAAATAAACGCAACTTCATTATTCTTTTTATATTTTTTTGCTATGATACAAAAATTACAACAAATATATGATACGGATCGGGACACGAATCATGGGGAAGAAAATAACGAAATCGAATTAGAATCACAAGAAATGAGACCAAGTGACTTGAAATTGATATATCAGAGAGATAAATTTGGGAAATAGACTAATCGAAGCCCTACTAGACCCGATCACATTTATTTACTAATGATCCCCTTTCTTCTCCACTCATTTGTTTGTCAAAATGATTCTCCACGTAATCTTACTTATTTTCTAGCTTTTTGAACAATAACTTGTGTGGGCCTTTCGAATTATATGGGCCTATTTTGAGTGACCCACAAGCCACAACCATGTGATTTTATCTTTCCTTTTATATTTCCTTCTAATTTTATTTTGTCCAATTTTGTAGTTTCACTTGTGATATTATACTCTACTTTCTACTACTTGACAAGATATATGCACTTACAAGACCTTTCGTATAAAAAGGAAAAGGATAGACTAAGATATTACTAAGATATTTTTCTTTCCTAAAAAAATCCTTGAACTATAGTCGACAAATATAGATGAAATATGTGGCAAGTGTTTTAGATATTGTTTTGAATTTGTATATGTACAAAAAATATGAGGTATAAAGTGGTTAAGAAACAGAAAATGCCAAACTTGGATAACAACCACAGAATGGAACAAAAAGAGAGAAACAGAAACAAAATAAAAAAAAAGAATTCTCATATTTTTTGATTGTGAGCTTTTGTGTAGACAAATAAAATTAAAGAAGCGTGAAATATCAAAGCGTTTGGGGGTAACATGGAAGATACCCCACCAAACCACCGCCAATTAAGAAGTTGCCTCAAACCCAAATATGTACAATCTCTTCAAATAAAATATCATCCTTATATATCCACTCACGATAATATTCCTTCAAAAAATAATTTCAACCATGTGAATTATTTTTGCATAAATATATTTCGTCATATAATAAAATTAATAACCAAAATGGCTGTCGTTATAGGAGTGAAAATTCGTTGATAGAGATCGAATCTTATCTATTATATTTTGATATTAGAAGTTTTAAGCGAGAAACACTCGTAATATTTTCCTTTTTCAAATTTGTATAATAATTTTAAATATTGGTGCAAAATATTTAAAAGTTGAAACAAGCAAACAATATGGAAACGGTCATGGTCAAATTTGGTATATTATACATGGAACTTGCAAAGTTGATAAGAGTTACATGGACTACGTACGTTGATGTCGATTTTCATTTCATCCAAACAGTTGTCCACTCCGCAAGCTTTGTGTTGCTCATGTTGCTTATGGTGGTCAATTTGCATATGGTCTTATGAAGATGTTATCCACAGAGCTCATTTTTTTTTAACTTAGTAATAAGATTGGTCTGTCCATCTTGACACATTTGCTGGTATCCTAAATAGAGAAAACACAGATAAGAATATTAAGTTTCGTTTTTTTGTTGGTCCTTTTACCCGTTACCCAGAGTTCGTTTTGATAAGATTGGTCTGAACATGGTCCGGTCCGTCAATTTAGTTAAATGCAGCTATCCTAATTAGAAAAGAAGAAACAAACATAAAACAACATTAAGGGTTTGATTGGTTCTCCCGCTAGCACCCGCCTAGCGGTTGTTAGCGGTCGGTTGCGGTTGCTAGCGGTTGGTACCAATCATAGAAACCGCTCCACACCGCTTCGAACCGCTCGAAATCGCTGGATTTCAAAACCTCCTTCCCGCAAGCGTTTGCGGTTGCGGGCGGTTGCGGTTGGTGTAAAAAAGGAAATAAACTAAAAAAGGAAAATAAATAAATTAAAATATTTATCAACATGTCTGATTTATATTCACGTTAATTCTAAAAAAATAATTATTATTTAACTTTAATTTTCTAATATAAATAATTATTTTTGTTTTCAATATAAAAATTTATATGAATAATTATTTATGGTTTTTAATCATTAATCATTTTTAAAAAATTTATATTTTTCATAACTATAGTTTCTGGTGTTTTATAATTTTTTTTAATCATATATTAAATTTATTTTGGTAAATTTTAGTTTAACCGCTATCGTACCCGCTGATCAACCAGTCGTAAATCTCCCGCAAACGCACCCGTTTTCAACCGCTAAACCAGTCGGTCAAAACGCTAAAAAACGCTTGAAACCGCAACCGCCCGCTTCCGCAAACTCCCACAACCGCAACCGCAACCGCTGCGTTTAAACCAGTCAAGCCCTAAGTTGTTTGTCAAAAAAAAAAAAAAAAACAACATTAAGTTTCTATTTTTGGTGGTTGGAAACAAAAAACGATACGCGCCAACATGTATCACGATGTTTTCTTCAGTAAGAGAAGACACCATCATTAGCGTTAGGTTGATATCTCTAATTTTCTGTCTAGCTGGCTGATTTCATTTATTGATTTTTTTTTCTCAAATTATACTTCCATTTTTTATAAAATTGAAAATATACTAACACTAATATGAGTATATAATCATTATTAGTAGAATTTTTCAGTTAACAATGCATTAAATTTGTAATCGTAGAAAAAAAAGATTAATCATATTTGTTAGTCTAATGTATGGTAAAAGAAACTATGCTGTTTTTTTTTTTTGGGCGAAAAATAGAAGTATACAAAAATGATAAGAAAGGGATGGTTAAGAGAAGGTGTCCCCTTGTGGTGGAACCTTATGTTGGAATGTGAAGTAATGTGCCTATTTAAAATACCAATGGCCACATTTTATGGCTTTTAAATTTCAGACCAACTTAGTCCCTAACTTGAGACCACTAAAACTCCCATATTTCTTTTGTCTTCATTTTATTTTTGCCTCAAATGTGTCAAATTTGAGATCTCATGCTTGGCCGTTGTAGAATTTATATAGCAATAAATTTTTAATTAGGATTAATTTTGGTGATGGTTTAAGATATTTGAAAGAAAAAGAAAAACAAAATTTTAAACGTTATATATTGCCTTTTGAGGTGACTAATAAAGTGAGAATAAAGCCTATAATTTATAGCTCAAATAATTCAATAAGAAAGGTAGCTAATAAATTAAGAATTGTTTGGTGTTTTTTTAAGTGTGTTTACAGGTCAGTAAGTAGGCTTGACTTTCTCGTTGATCCGTTTTCCGATAATTGACTCCAAAAGTTTCCTCGACCCTCATTCCAAATTTCATAATTCAAATATGTTGTCGACTCCGTGTAACTGGATATTTATTTTATCTATATATATTTCAATACTCTATAATAATGTCAAAATAAGTTGTTATAAACAATTACCTTAAGCTATAAACGATTAGCTAGCTAATTTTCATTTAGTGTGCTTTAATTTGTAGTAATTAAATTCATTGGTCTACCTTCGTTGAATAACTTTGCTGGCTGGTCTTTAATTTCGACTATACTTGAAACTAGACTTAGATAAAATAATGAACTAAAACAGAGTTTTTTTTTAATATACTCCATAGTTGGGAACGGATAACCAAAGTGGCAAAGGCGTGGTGAAGAAGATCATCTGGATTCGGATTTTGTATGTATTACCCTAGAGGAGGATAAAATATTTTGTTGGAAGACAATTAGACAAAGACGTTTGTCTGCAGATTACATCTGTATATGTACTTAACACACACCTATATAGTATATGAATGTGTATCCCATAATTCATGAACGATAAGACTAATCTTCCAATAGAAGCATTCATTTTTTTGTATTTAGTTAAACATCTTATTAGGTTAACTAGAATGACAATTAAATGTTTCTAATTTTCATATGCTACCATATACTATAATGGTCTAGTGGTCCATCCATCCATACACCATTTATCGTCAAAATTCTAGGTGCAGATTTAGAATGATGTAAAAATCGATATCAACATTGATCTTACTATAGCTGACGAACCTGCTGATCGACTTACTGAACAACCTGCTGAGAAACTCGTTGAAGGACTTTCTGATGGACTTCCTGAAGTACTTTTTGTATCAAGTCAGCTTGTGCCAATTAAGGAAAGTTATCATTTCCTTCCTTGTGCGCGTCTCAAAGTCATATATGGAAGCCTGAAGATACTCTAAATCTTCTAGAAAGTGTTCCACACAACCTTAGCTGCATCTTCCCACATAAGAACCCGATGAGCCATAACTTCCCTTTTCCGAAGCCGAATGAGATCAAATCACAACGGCTTTATTCTGATCATCTTTCCCTCATTCAATTTCCAACGGCCATATTTTCATTTATTGTTGCGATTTTTTATTATTTTATTTTAGCATATAGACGTTGTACTTGAGCCCCTATATAAGCTCACCTTAGTTTTCATTTATATTAAAGCCTTCTACGAAATAAACAAGTATTTTCTTCAAAGAGTGTCTTTGAGTTTTATGCATTAGAAATTAGTGTGGATTCACTAAAGTCTTGTGTATGTGCGGATCAATTAGCTTGTGGATTCGAGTTGATTTGTTCGTGGTTTGATTGTGGATTCAATAAGCATGTTGAGTGTGGATTCATTCGACAAAACCTCCATCTTTCATCTCTATCATCGTCCACTGAATCATCTAAACCGTAAGCCGAGAGACCGAAAAACGTAAACCCTAGGTGGATTCCGAGGTTTGCATCATAGAAGAAAAAAAAACAAAGAACGTGCATATTTTCAGAATCTAGTTACAGTGATCCGTTGAAACAGTAACCAGATTTTTTTTCATATCACTTATTGTCTACGATTGAGAAGTTTGAGCTATGGGTGTCATATTTCTAAATGACGTACAAAAAAAAGAAGCAGAATTATGTAAAAAATACTAAAATAATTTCACA